GACATTAGTCTACTTTGCTACTTTTGGAAGTTGTGCATAGTGAAGTGTGTGGGTGTTGGGGATTTTCCCTTTTATACATATTATATTGTAGTGTGTAGCAATTATTGTTAATAAAAACCAAATGTTACCTGTAATGCTATGTAGATTGTATACAGTACACTATAATCAATACAACTATAGTTATCATTATATAATTAATTATTTTATTTAGCAAAAGGAAAAGTCCAGATCATATTGAAATTAGTCTAATTTGCTACTTTTGGAAGTTGTACATAGTTCTTCATCAGCTTTTCATTTCAATGTTTTGCTTCCTAAACATATACAAGATATATAAATTATACATCATTTCACTCACTTATGTAATCAGCTGTTGAGTTTTGATCACATTCTTCAAGAGCTTTAATTAATGTGCTCCATTTTGCTCCTCCTTTATCATTTACATCATCAGCTTTCTCCAGCCATTTCACCAGACACTCTCTAACACACCCATTAGTATCTCTTGGATAATCCATCTCAATAGTTTTTAGTGTATTATGATATAAACCCAAACCAAGACCAAAATTAATCCATTCAACATTTGAAAATTGGCCATCTTTAAGTAACATTCGTACATCATGCAAATGTTTTATGTTCAATAGAACATCTTCTTCTATACCTGTAATTATTACTATACACTATTACTGTTAAAAGTTAAATTTACCTGCTGAACTAGAGTCAGATTCAAGACCAAACCAGCACCAATAAGTCTCATCATTTTCACTGATATCATTTTCATTTGAATGCCACAATATACAATCTGCTACCTTGTTCTCTTCATCCACTATACAATAGCAATGTTCCTTCCCATTAGGGCAAGGAAATGCAATTGCATGATTCCGTTTAACATTGATGGCATCAGAACTTTTATTAATAGTTGTGGTAATTAGCTCACGGATTTGTGGACAATAGTTTTTAGGACCATTGAAATATATTTCAATATGTTCATAACGATTAATGGAGTAAAGTGTGCAACGTTTTCCTTTAATTTTGATCCAAAGTGTAACAACATCACGATACTTGCAGTGTTGCTGAGGAAGTTGAACTTCATATTCCTTCTGCTCAAGCAAATAGACATAAAATAAGATAAAAATCCCTTGAGGAACGTGGACAAAATTTTTTGATTCCCATTCATCTTCTGCCAGTTCTAGCCACACATAATAAAGAGGCTTTATACTTTTAGGTAGATCATTATCATATTCATTATTGTAGGCAGGTAAAGCAGCAGGAAGAAAATAGTGGCTACTATCCTGGGACTGGCTTTTCAATTTGGTAATAATATGAAGATGTTGAAGCAAGTTAATAAAGTAATCTGGTGTGAAATCATCTGAGAATACACCAGAAAACTTTTCAAGAAGAACTTTTTTGAAGGAACCTCTTTCCTTAAGATGTGTCATCTCATCCTGTGATACATTTGGTGCCAGTGATGTTGCTGGTGTTGGATAACTGACATAAGTGAGAGCTAACAAATATGAAAGAACATTAAGGATTTTCTGAGGGTTTACGAAAACTAGTTCTGGTTTGATCTCAGGATAGTATAAAATGATGGAAGTGGATATTGGTCCGGCAGCCGGACACGATTTGCAGCGCTATTGGTCCGGCAATGGCGATCACGTGATTAAATTGGGTGGGGCTGTGTGGGCGTGCCATACTGCTATTATCATTCATGGCTGCGTGTATACATGTGGATGTACCGTCTCTCGTTAAGTTCAATGTTGGGGAATGTTTTACATCTTACAAATGTCTACATGAGAAGATAAACCAATATGAGGCCGAAAGGTCTATACAGCTCACTCATCGTGAACTCATCGTGGCTGAAGGAAAGGAAGTACATGTATCTCTTTCTCAAGGTTTACATTT